GGCCCTCCAGAGATACCGTTTCTTCCCGTTCCTGGGGCTGGCAGTGCTCACCTCCGGCCTCAGGAAATCCTCTCCTGCTGGCGCTCCCAGAGCCGGCCATCAACCAAGCCCACCCTCACTGCTGCTGGGAGGCCAAGGCTTCAGGAGGGGAAGGGCTGCGGGCCTTTACACTGTGCAAGCCAGTTTTAGCCTGCTCTTTTCACTTTAGTTTGTTGTAAGCATCTTCTTGCATTATTTCAGTCTTTGGAAGAGGCCATCTAATAGCTGCAAACTTTCCTATTGAGGGGCTGTGGTTTGTCTCACCGGTCCCCTGGAGTTGGCATTGATATTTTGCTCCACACTTTGCTGTCATAAATACTGCAGTGGACATTGGTGAACATCGAGCAAGAAAACTTCTCCTGTGCATTGGGTCTGTCCTGAAGGCAGACGTCAGAAAGTCCAAAGAGCAGGAACCCTATCCCAGACTTTTCTTCCCACTTGGGTCCAGTATAACCCCCTCCACTCCACTTAGTGTCCTGGTGTGCTGGGTCCACCTGTTTTCTGTACAAACAGCTACTCCAGGCCCTGAGGGGTTGGAGACATCCCTTCCAGCCTGTGAGCTCATCTTGAACCTGGCTGGAGGTGCCAGGCCACTCCTGGGATGACACAACTGTCACGGGGAGGGCCCTGTGCTGGTGCGCTGGCCACATTGTCTGCAGCTGTCTCCCTTGGTCCGGCAGCCTCTCCCAGCTCCTTCTCATCCAGGGCCTCTCTCCTTGCTGCCAGTCCCACTGTGTGTGTGCGCATGTGTGTGCGCGCATGCGTGTGTGCTGTGTGTATGCAAGTATGTGCCTCTGCACTTATGCGTGACTTAACCAGCACCATCCTCCAGACTAGGGCAGCCTCAGATTTCTTCACCCAGGCCAGCGCATCCCATGAGGGCCACCTCTGAGGTCCCATCCAGTCAACAGATGTTTACTGCACCCCTTCTCACCAATGGGGCTAAACTTCATTGGGGTGGGGGTGGTGCTGGCCCCAGTGCTAAACTCATATTTATTGGAGAGGAGGGTGCTTAGGTCTCAGCTGCCTGTCCTTTTGCAGTCTGAGTGTGACAAGGGTCTTTGGCTTTGCTGAGCCTGGAGTGCTGCTGTCCCTGTCCCTAGATTCCCTTCCAGCTGCAGGGTGGGCTGAGGTCTAGCAGCTCCATTTCTTCCCTGGCCCTGTCTCCTCTGTTCCCTGAAGTGTATGGGATGGGACAGTGGTTGCTAAACTGGGTCTCAGTCTCTTCATGTGAAAAATGGTCCTAGGCCATGCGCAGTGGCTCACGCCTGTAATCCCAGCACTTCGGGAGGCTGAGGCAGGTGAATCACTTGAGGTCAGGAGTTCGAGACCAGCCTGACCAATATGGTGAAACCCCATCTCAAAAAAACCCAAAAAACAGACTGGGGCTAATGGTGAGCCTGTTTTGCAGGATTGCTGTGTGCACAAAATAAGTGCATGGGCATAGGGTCCCTGGCACTGGCTAGGCATGGAGGCTCTGCTGGGTATGTGGGGCTGCATCCCTGTCCTTGACAGCAGAGGTCCGGGAGGCTGGACTGGGGGTGGGGTAGGTTCTGCCCCCATATACCCCAGCCAGAGCCTGCCCAGTGGGTGCTCCTTCCCCACCCCCCAGCTACATCCCCTTCAACACAGTGGGGCTTAACTCCTGGGGCCTTGTTTCCAAAGCGGAAATGCCATTCTGGGAGGCACAGGCTTTGGGGGGAGGGAATTTAAGTGGAAAACGAGCAAATTTTTGAAATGCCTGTGTTGGAGCCTGTTCCCTTTGCTGCCTCCGGCTCACACCAGCAGCCCCACCCCCAGTGCTGCTCTAATCCAGCTCCTGGGGGAGGAGGGCCCCATCCCTCAGGGTCCCAGCCATCCACCTCCTCTCTGCACCCCTCTCCTTGGCCAACTAGGATGGAGCAGGGGCTGGCTCCCTTGAGGGCCAGGCCTTTTGTGTCCCTGCCTGTCCCTGCAGACTCCTGCCTGGAGCCCTGCCAGCAGGGCACTGCCTGCCCATGAGGCCTGGTCTCCCCTTCCCACAGAAGTGGAGGCCCAGGGATCACCTGAGGCTCCTGAGGGTCCTGCTGGTTCAGACCTGCTCTCTGGGAAGCTGGTTTGTGTGCCAGTCAGGCTGAGGAGTGGTGGCTGGACAGGGTCAGTGCAGGAGGGGCCGGGCACAGCTCTTGGGAACAAGCAGGAGGAGATGCTCCAGGCAGCCTCCCTGAAGGCTGGCTCCTCTTCTGAGGTGAGGTGGGCTGTGTCCAGGAGGCATAGGAGGAGGCATAGGGTGTTGGCGAGCTGTTCTGTTCCTCCTGAGGACTCTGGGTCATGCTGTGTCCCATCCCACTGGTCCTTCCTCACCCGCTGTGCTGTGAGTTCTGGCCAGTGGTTCCCAAGCCAAATATTGAGGAAATGCAGACGTCCAGTTTTTTGGGAGGGGTGGGACGCAGGAGTCTGCTTTTACACAAGCTTCCCAGAGCACCTGAGCAGCCAAACCTGGGCTGCCCTAGCCCCTTTTCAGATGAGAAAGGAGCCCAGAGAGGGGAGAGGGTCTGCCAAGGCGGCACATCTCGCCAGGTGCTGTGTAGGCTGAGCCTTGGGTGTCAGGCAGAGGGGCGGCTGCAGGCCCACCTAGGCTTATGTCTGTCATAGGCCACGCTTGAGAATTCTCTGCTGTGGGCAGCCGGGTCCACCCCGCTGCTTCCCTGCCACTGGAGCTGCCTCATGGCATCCCCTTGCTCAGCCAGTGGCCCAGGATTGTTGACTGAGGGTCCTGTCTGGTCTGGACCAGGCTCGTCTTACGTTCTTACTGCAGGTTGTACATCCCTGGCCAGGCCCAGGGGCTCTGGCACCGTGGTTTTGCTGCAGGGGGTGACAGTCACTGACCTGCAACCGAGCAAGGGGCAACTCAGGACAGCCAAGGTTGTCTCCACTCCGTTTCCCCTGGGTGATTCTTCCTTCTGTCTCCCTCATTCCCCCAGTGCCGCCCTCCTACCCCATATCGCTGAAGCAGATGAGTTGGAGCAGGACTCAAGAGGGTACTGGGCCCAGGTTTTAGGCTGAGCCTAGGAATGAGTAATGAGAGGAGGCAGATCAACTCAGCTGGAGTCCCCAGATGTCAGCACAATGCAGGGGAAGATAGGTGCTGCCCGTGAAAAGTGCTGGATTGAGAGCTCGCCAGCCTCCTTGCTTGAGGCTTCATTTCCTAGGCTCTTTACACGGTGGGCCCGTCTACAGTCGGAGCTGTGGTGGTGGTAATTCTTCTCCTGCAGGCTGGTGCACGCCCCCTCCCCTTTCCCACTAGATTCAGATCTGAGTCCCACGGCCCATCGACACGCTATGAATGCCCTGGGGTTGGTTAGCGGGAAAGACAGAAGTCGACTTGACGCCGTGGCTCCGCTCTGGAGGAGGAAGGCAATCCGGGCAGCCTTCCCAGAAGTGGAGGCATTTGCATAGGCCTTCGGTGCGTTCTCGCCCGGGTGGAAGGCGGGGACTTGGATTTGTTGGAGAGCGGTGTCCTGCGCTCTAGGCTGGAAGCCTGGCCTCGGCCGGGTGCCCGGAGCCTCGGGGTGGGAGGTGGGGGGCGGGGCGGGGGGCGGCCCCTACTGGGCGGGCTTCTGTCTGCGCGCCCGCGCCCCTGACAGGCGGCTCATTTGCATGGAGAGCGGCGGCGGCCAATGGGCGCGCGCGGCCGGGCATGCTGGGATCGGGCTGGGCCGGCTGGGCCGCGGCGGCTGGCGGATCGCGGCTGGACCGGCTCTGGGTGGCCGAGGCGGCAGCTGCGCGGCGGCAGCGGGGCAGCTGTGGCGCTCTCGGAGCCCCGAGGGCACGCGGCCAGAGCAGCTCGGTGTGCGCCACTGTGGTAGCCGGGGCCCCAGGCCTGCTGGACACCATGAACCACCTGGTGAGGGCGGCAGGCGGGGCCGGGCCGCGTCTGGGCTTCGAGGCGGTAGCCCTGCCGGCTCCGGGTCTGGCGCGGGCTGGAAGGGGTTAAGTGAGCGGCATTTCCTGCCGGACCTGCGGGGCCTGGGAACCGCCGACCGGGATCCGCGGCCCCGGGACCTCCTTCCGCCCTGGTCGGGGAGCCGGGAGACAGGAACCGCTGGGGCTCCGGAGCCTGCGCGCCTCGGGGGCGTTGGCGGGGCCGGGCACGGGGGCCGCCAACCGGCAGGAAGATGCCTGTGTCGGGAAAGTGACTGGCGGGGCCAGCGCTCCCCGGCCGGCGGCCTCCTGCTGTGTCACCTTGGGCCTCTGCGCCCTGCCTCCGAGCCTGTTTCCTCGGCTGCGAGGAGGGACCGTTGAGTCTCGGGCGGGTGGTCCGTCTGGTGTGGCGTGGGACTGCCCACCGCTCCCGGAGAGGGAGGAGCTCCGGGGGACCGAGGCCGGGCGGGCAAGTGCTTGGCGCCAGCGGGGAAGGCTGTGCGGCCGGAGCACCCGGGTCCGGTTAATGATTCACTCCGGCCGCCGGCGCTGGGTTCCGGGAGCGGAGCGGGGGTGGGGGCGGGCGCGCGGCGGGCTTTGCAGCCCTGCACGCCGAGTGCCGGTGGAAGCCGGGTCCTGGCTGGCTACAGGAGTCCTAGCTGCACACGAGAGTCGCGGGAGTGGGCCAGGGCCAGGTTCTACAATGTGAACGTGAAGGCTTTGGAGTCCATGGTTGGGGGACCCACAGAGCTAGAGCAGGGGCGGGGCTGCCTCTCGAGGGTCAGAGAGGCTGATCGCTGGGCCGAGGTGAGGGAGCTGGGAAAGCTGAGATTTGCCTAGGGGTGCCTAGGCTTACGACCCGGAAGATGGGGTTTTGGGTTCCATATCGGGAACAGCAGCTCCTTTTCCCACCACAAGGCTCCCGTTCCCTCTTAAGAGTCCCTGGTTTCCTTTCCCGCACTCCTCCTGGGTCCCGCTGCGTTTTTGGTCACCTCAGAATGACCAGGGTTGATTTCCTTACTGGATTCGGCCAGGTGAGATGTTTCCCATCGCCCTGGGCCGGGGCACGCCCCCTCTTGTGCTCATTCCTTTCCTTCGGTGGAGAGTTGGGTGGTGGGGACTGGCTGGCCTGTGAGAGCAGGTGTCGGGGTGCCTGGAGAATCGGGGCCCAGGTACCGGGGCGGCGGGGCTGTGGGGAAAGGAGCTTTGGGGAGGAGCTGCTGACGCTTCCTGCTGGCACTGCTTGCTTGGGAGCTGGGTGGAGGCAGGGCAGGGCAGTTCCAGGTTCTGCCAGGAAAGTCACCTTGGGCTGGGGCAGGAGGCTTGGAGCCTCTGGCCGTTACTGTTTGTCGGAGCAGGAGGGTGAGCCCTATGGACTGGTACCATGGCCCCAGGTCTGGGCAAAGAATGGAAATAAGGACAGTGCCACTAGGGCCTCCTGTCTGTGCAGGAAGGGCCCTGAGACAGCTCTTCAAGCCCCTTTCCCATTATACGGATGGTGCAGATGGGGACACTGAGGTACAGAGAGACAGTTAGTTGTCCTCAGAACTGGATCCAGAACCTGGTCTCCTGACATGGCCCCCAGTGCAGCACCACATGTGGCTTCTGAATTCCCAGTCTGGGATTGAGGAAGCTCTGGTCCTTGGGGGACCACCATGCTCTTTTGGGATTATCAACTTGGTAGGGACCCTCTGGTTCCAAGGCTGTGCCTTTGTGGCCCTCTGCTGGCATCTACTGTCCCTTTAGTGGGTCCTACCACCCTTTTCTCCTGAGCCTGGACAACTTCTTCCCTTGACCTCAGGAGCCCACAGCCAGCTGAAGCAGCTAGAACCAACCAGCAGGGGAGGTGCGCTCCAGGGGGGCTTCTTGGAGGAGGCAGTATTGGAGTCAGACTTGAAGTGTGGGACGTGGAGTTGGGTGATAGGGATGTTTCTCCAGCAGAGACACTGGGCAAGCCTCTTCTTCAGCCCCCAAAAAAGGGGCTGCAGGGTGGTCTCCCTGTAAGAGGGCGGGACTCTGCTGTCTGTCAGGCCCTTCCTGGCCCTCTGAGCACAGGAGAGGCCCTGGCTCCATCTGCATCTTGCTGCCCTGACTTTCTCCCACCTCTAGGTGCTAGTCTGGGGCAGAAGTAGGGTGAAGGGGCGGGTCCAGCCTCCTTGATGACTCAGTTGGGGTTGAAGGTGGGAGCTACCCCTATTCTGGGCCTGTTGCTGTCTCTGAAGTCAGGGGTCAGCCTCACACTGAACTCTCTGCCAGAAGTCCGGATCATAAGCATGAGCTCCAGCAAGTCCACTTGAGTGAACCCCGCTGATCCTGCCTGCAGGGGTACAGGCCTGGGGCCTGCCAGCCGTCCCCACTGTCCGTGGGGTGTTTTGGGTTGGAGATTCCATGTCCTGAAGCAGGAGGGCCCTCCCCATGCCACCTCCTCTGCCCAGCCTCTTAGGGACAGTGCCTGGGATGCCCTGGCAGGAGTAGGGGCTGGGGCGTGCTTCCAGACCATAGCTGGCCTGGGCATAAAGGCATCTGCTGTGGCGCTGCAACGAAAGCCAGGCTGTGCTCTGTGCTTGTGTCAGGGCACCCTTGGCAGTGGCCACCCCACAGGTGTCTTTTTATTCCCTCCTGCTGCTGAGTGTCACCCGTGGGGCTGAGGGCCTGCACGCCTTCCCTGCCTCATCCTCTCTGAGGTTTCACGCCCTACTAAGGCCGGCAGGACAGGAGCCATGCTCCCCTGGGGTGGCTCTGGAACGTGGGCCCCGTGCATAGGCTATGTGATCTGCCCACGCCCTTGCTGCCTGCCACCCGGGCACCCAGGACTTGAGCCCAGACCCTGGCCACCCAGTTGTCTGTGGGAGTATTAGGGGAAGATGCCACTAAACTGGCAGGTCCTGGAGTTCCACCCAGGATGGGGACATGGAGGAGGGAAGAGGAGGTGCCCCTCAGAGCCTGAGGCCAGGGCCAAGTGCGGTGATCAGGACCCCTCCAGGAGGGTCCCGGGTGCGGATGGCCAGTTGGGCGCACGCTCATTGGGCCTGCATCCGTTGGCCATGGAGGCTCTTTGGGACAAGCAAATAGAATGCTCCAGAAATAAACTTGGCCCAAGTTTGTGACGGTTCTGGGTATGAAAGAAAGCAGTGTTTCCCAAGTGCCTGCTGTGTGTGAGGCTCCGTGCTGGGGCGGGTGCATGTGTGTGTTGGGGGTGTGGACAGGAGGGGTGGGAAAGGCCCGTGACATTTCCTCTCGTGGTTTCCACGAACCCAGGCATCACCCCTGGGTGGAGATAAAGTGGAGCCACCCGGCTCTACTGTGTCTCAGCCTGGGGTTGGCCTCTGCTGCTTCTGGACTCAGTGACCCTGGACTGTCAGGGAGCTTCTGAGCCTTGGTTTTCCTGTCTAGTAAGATGCAGGTATTTCTGTCTTATGGGGTTGTTTTGAGGGTTAAATGAGCTGGTGGCTGTGAGGGAAAGAGCTCTGCCTCCGGCAGGGAGGAACTGTGCTGTTCTTACTGTTTTGAACCTAGTGACAACTGTGGTGGTGTTACCCGTTTCCTTGTCTGCTCCCAACCCCGGGGTCTTGGGCAGAGACCAGGAGTTCTTGCCATTTTCTCCCAGCTCCCACCTTGTGCTGGCTTGTGGGTGCTGTGCTGAAGTCACATTTGCTGGGTGAAAGGGTGCAGGCCGGATGTGAGCCAGGCCTGGCAGAGAGGGTTTTGGTCAGCGGTGATACCTGCAGTGTTCTCTGCAGTTGGCTCGGGCTGGCCCTGCTCCTCAGAACTCCTCGGTTGTCCCTTCAGGCAACCAGGGAAGGCTCCTTGGAGCAGCAGCATCTCCCCTTACCACTCCCCGACACCAGCTTCCCCCCAACCCAGAGTCAGAGTTTGGGGACAGCCACAGCATGTCCAGGGCTCCCAAGGCAGCTGGCAGAGCCAATGAGGAGAACCCAACACCCATCCGACGGCTGCAGCTCTCCCTGACGTGTGCCACCCGCAGCCCTGGTCCCAGCCGCTCTGCTTCTCAGGGCCTGCCTGCCCAGCCCGGGTGGATCTGGTGCCCAGGCGGGCCCCAGGGACACAATGAGGGCCATTCTCAGAGCCAGGCAGAGCCTGTGGGGCAGTCCTGTCAGCTCCCACGTGCAACAGCTGGGATATTGTTTGGGGAGTGCTGGTATCAGGCTGAGGATCTCCTCCTCTGGCCCTGCCCTCTGGGATGAGCGAGCCCTCGAGGGCCTTCCTGGGTTCCTCTGGTGCACATACCCTGGAGCTACCCTTCTGAAGGAGGTAGATTTGTCCTCCTGTCCCAGGTGCCTGGGGTCCAGGGGTGTGAATTGGGCTGTGTCAAGACATGCTAGGTGGTACTGTGAGGTGGGGGCCGAGGGAAGGGGGTGTCCCAGGAGGAGCCTTCCTGGACGGGATGATAGTCCAGCAGGTCCTGAAGTGGGAGTGGGGTGCGGCAGGAGTGAGGTACCAGAGACTCAGCAGCCTCCACTGTGCCTTGGACACAGGTGACTGACAGTGTCCACCTGGACTGGCTTTGCACCCCATCTGAGGTCACAGTTGTATCCCTTAAGAAGTTGGGCAGGAGTACCTGACTGGCCCAGCTTGGGTCATGCCCTAGGCCCAGCAGTGCAGGAGGCCAGGAAAGTAGGCTTAGGGAGGCTGGCCTCTCCTCCAGTTTGGAGCATGGCAGGGGTTCCGGGGGAGGCTGCTGGGGGGCCTGCGAGCATGTCCAGAGCAGGAATGCTTGAGGTGGTGTGCGCTTTGCTTGTCTGGGCTTATCTGGCCATGGGAAGCTGGTTGTGTGGATGACGTTCACTGAGCTGTGCACGCATCACCCATGGAGTCTGTGGCGTGAGTCCTTCTGCCGCTCCAGGGTCACAGCCTGCCTCCCTGCTCCAGCCCCCTGGCTGAGGCCCTTCCTCTGCCCCATGCTCTTCCCAGACGGGAATCCTGTGGAATATCATCTCTTTGGGGAGGCCATCTCTGACCCTGTATGCAAAGGCCTTCTCCCACATTATTTTTGGCCCCCCACTTTCTTCCCCATGAGAGCAAATTGTTTGCTGTCTTTCTGTCCTACTACAGTATAGGCCCTGTTCAGACAGAGGCCTCGTCCACTAGGCCTGCGCTATCTCTGCGGAGCCCGGCTGAAGCAAGGGCCAGGCGAATCTTTTGTTAAAAGAACAGTGTGCGCTGGGCACAGTGGCTCACGCCTGTAATCCCAGCACTCTGGGAGTCTGAAGCTGGAGGATCACTTGAGCCCAAGAGTTTGAGAACAGCCTGGGCAACATAAGGAGACCCCATCTCTATACAAAATTAGCTGAGCATGGTGGTACGTGCCTGTTGTCCTAGCTACCTGGGAGGCTGAGGTGGGAGGAGGCTGAGGTGGGAGGATCGCTTGAGCCTGGGAGGTGGATGCTGTGAGAGCCATGATCGTGCTACTGGGCAATAGAGCAGGACCCTGTCTCAAAAAAAAAAAAAAAAAAAGAACAATCCTATGAAACCAGGGCTGTCATCCAGCAGAGAGGATCTAAGTGCTCAGAGGGGCTAAGGGATTTGCCCAAAGTCCCACAGCGGGGCCCAGGTCTGAGTCTTAGCTGCTGCCTAGTGAGGAGGAAGGAGTGTGTGTCCTTGGGGAACAGACGGGGAGGCAGAGAGGCCCAAAGAGGCGGGGCCCTGGCCAGCTGGAGTGGTCGGTTGTGTACCAGCAGCAGCGGCGTCCAGAGCTCAGGCTGGGCGGGGGCACGCCAGCTGACGCAGGCAGGGGAGCTCCTGGTGCCAGGCGCCCGGTGCCACGTGCCCAGCCTGTGAGGTGCTTCCCAGCCTGGCTTCAGTGGCCCCAGACTGGGCTGTGGCCAATCAATGAGCTCATTCCAGGAGGGGATGGACCTTGAGGCCAGAGGCCACAGCCGCTCACCTGGGCCGGACTTCCCCTCCCTGCCGGGCCCTTCCCTCTGCAGAGCCCCCGGCCTCCCTGCCTGTGCTCCCTCAGTCTCCCTGAGTGCCTGGCCCTGCCTGGCGGGGCCTCTGCCAGCCTTTCCTGGGCCGCCCTTCTAGGAGGTGAGGGGCCTTCGCAGGGCGGTCCCCTCTGTCTAAACCCCCACCTTCTCTGACTTGGCTGGAGGGGAATTTTCCTGTGACTCACTCTGCTGGCACTTCCTGTGGTCACCAGGGCAGGGGCTGGGGGACCTGGAGGGGCAGCTCTGTGGTGTGTAGGGTCACTGGGGGAGGGTGGCCCGCCCCCTGATGGGCTGTGATTCCCAGAGGCAGGCTGCAGACCATATTTGGGAAATGCTTGTCTTGCTGGCTGCCTGGGATGGGGGCCCTGAGCACGGGTGGGCTGCAGGAGAGCCCCCGCCCTCCCGCTCCTCTGTGGGGCTCTGGCCACTGGACCTGCCGCAGTGCCTGTCCCATTCTGCCTCAGAGCCTGGGACACAGTCCACTGTTTTTTTTATTTTTTCTTTTTGTGTATTTTTTCAGCCCCAAAGCAAGAAACACTCATTCCTGAAAAACAGGAAGAGAAAGTGTCTCCAATGTCTCAGACACCTCTGGAGTCGTCCTGACCCTCTCCTGTCTTTACGTTTCACAGGATGTTTTCTTGAGGCAGGCTTTTCACTTGAGTTCCTTTTTCATTCTGTTGTAATTGTGGTGTGAACAGTGTTGCAGCCATCTAGGGCCTCTGCCCTTGCGCTCACCTTGGCTCTGATGTGACTCCACCTGGGCCTGCCTTCTCTGAGCTGCCCCCTTGGGCCTTGCTCCTCCTGGCTCCCCACACTCTAGCCTGTGGCCCTTTTAGGGACTGGAGGCTCCTAGCTGCTCTGGAGAAATAGGCTCCCAGCTGATGACGCCCACCCAGGGCAAATGAGCTGTGGGGTCTGAATGTCTGCTCCTGGGACCTGGGGCACCTACTGCCTACTCAGGCTGCTTGCCTGGTGTACCATTGCCCTCTGATGCCGGCCAGGGAGACGGAGCTCAGAGGGGTTCTGTCCAGTCCCTGCTGGTGTAGGGGAGGCTGGGCCCTAGGGACTTGGAAGAGGTGTCACCCCCACTCTGCCCCAAGGCCCAGGCTCTGGCTTCCTGTTTCTGCCCAAGGAGGCGTGGCCCTTTCTTCCTTGTTTCACTCCTTGCAAATGGAGTCCAGAAAATGGGACTTGGGCCCAAGTGGGGATGGTCACACAGCTACTGGCTGGCCAGAATCCAGGTCCCGTTTCTGAGTCAGTCTCGACCAGGCTGCACGTCTAAGACCGCAGGAGACTCCAAGGAAGGACCTTGCAGGGCAGCCCAGACCTGAGGCTGGTGGGGTGACTGGAGCCAGTCGGGTCACCACCCAGCCGGCCTGGCACTTTTCTCAGACCTGGCTTCCTTGTGTGTGAAGTCTGGGGCCCCTGTGGAACCCATGCAGCCCTCGGCCGCCCTAGGAGGGGCTGCAGCCCTGGCTTTGTCTCACCCCGTGCCTCCCTCACACCTGCCTTCTGCTGGAACCGACCACACCCTCCAGCCAGGGACCCTCTGTCTCTCTCGGCGCATCCTGCGCCTGGCACCTCAATGGGGCAGCAGCAGCAGGGGCAAGGACGCAGGGGTGTGGCGGGAAACTGCGAGGCCTCCCTGCCTGGGCTCTTGTGTCCCAGCGAGGCTCTGCACCTGCCCTCACCATCGCCCTCATGCCTCTGATCCCACAGCCTCCTCCAAGTCCCTCTCCGACTGCTTGGCTCCTGGGCCACATGGAGGACGTGCCCTGCCCTGGGAGGGTTTACTGAGGGCAGCGGGGCCAGGCCCGGGAGGGCGTGCCTCCTGTTTGCTTCCCAGCCTTGGGGAAGGTGTTTGAAGTTTCTAAACTAATTACTGACTTTTTGGATTTTGGGTAGATGGACTTTGTTAAGGAAGCTTCCTTTCATTTTTGTTCAGTTTTTTATCCTAAGAAGCTGTCCTTTTTGTCAGATTATTTTCGTGCATCTCAAGAGAGAACCATTTGCTATTTGTTTTAACTTGGCAGCGTTGTCGTTGTTACTGCCGCTCTCCCTGTGTTGGTCCAGGTAGCAGAGTGGCCTTGGGTGGGGCTTTTAAGGGTATCTTGAGGGTCATCCCTGGAGTTTTGGTGGTGGCAGTGGTCAAGAGGATTTTGAGGTGCTCTACAGGTGCAGTGGAAAGAAAGGCCAGGCTCAGCTGGGCCTTTCTGCTGGGGAACAGATGGAGACATTGGAGGCAAAGGCACAATGATCTCACCAAACTCCACTAAGTTATTTTCCCAGTGTCAAAGCTGAGCACCTCCCCAGATGGGGCAGGAGCTGGGGATCCCCTGACGCCCCATGAACATCCTCCTGGTCTCACACCTGTGTCCTCTCTCCCCAGAACGTGCTGGCTAAAGCCCTCTATGACAACGTGGCCGAGTCCCCAGATGAGCTGTCCTTCCGAAAGGGTGACATCATGACGGTGCTGGAGCAGGACACGCAGGGCCTGGACGGCTGGTGGCTCTGCTCGCTGCACGGGCGCCAGGGCATTGTTCCTGGGAACCGCCTCAAGATCTTGGTGGGCATGTATGATAAGAAGCCAGCAGGGCCTGGCCCCGGCCCCCCCACCATCCCGGCCCAGCCTCAGCCTGGCCTCCATGCCCCGGCGCCTCCGGCCTCCCAGTACACGCCCATGCTCCCCACCACCTACCAGCCCCAGCCTGACAGTGTCTACCTGGTGCCCACTCCCAGCAAGGCTCAGCAAGGCCTCTACCAAGCCCCGGGTCCCAGCCCTCAGTTCCAGTCGCCCCCAGCCAAGCAGACATCCACCTTCTCGAAGCAGACGCCCCATCACCAGTTTCCCAGCCCCGCCGCAGACCTGTATCAAGTGCCCCCAGGGCCTGGAGGCCCCGCCCAGGACATTTACCAGGTGCCGCCTTCTGCCGGGATGGGGCATGACATCTACCAGGTCCCCCCATCCATGGACACACGCAGCTGGGAGGGCACAAAGCCCCCGGCAAAGGTAAGGCTGTCCTGGCACAGTCGTGCAGCCCCACAGGTATAGACCCAGGCCCTGGTTTCTGGGCACAGAAGGGCCCAGCCACCCTCAGTCACTGGCCGTCCAGGAGTGGCTGTGTGTTTGGTCTGGGGTCAAAATGGGAAGTGAGTGTTTGGGGAGTGTTCATTTGTCTGGGGAAGATGGATGTGAATGGACCCAGAGGGGAGACGCCCCGCTGGCCTCAGCCAAGCCAATCTGAGTAGCGGTGTCACCACAGGGATCAGAATGTTGAGGCATTCCAGCGGGCAGGCGGGGCATGGCACATGGGCCCCCGCGAGGGAGAGGTCAGCCACTTCATGCTCATGCTGTGCCCTCTGGGTTTACGTGTCAGCGTCTAGATGGGGTTCCAGCACATCTTCTGACCGCCCGTGTCTCCACGGGCCAACCCCTCTCCTCTTATGGGGGATGCTAGGGTCCAGTGGGTGCTTACGGTGATCTGGATGTGACTCCTGGGAGGACACTGCCCCTGGAATTGCTAGAGGAGGGCTACTCTGGGAGCCTCCTGAGCTCTTGCCAATGGGATGCTGGGCCTGGGAACAATATCTCTGGCCTCCAGACCCTGAGCCCACTCCCCAAGTCCACAGGCCCCCTGCCTCTCAAGCTCACCTGCCTGTAGGAAGGAGTCAGAACTGGAGAGGGCGGCGAGGTCCACTGGCTGCAGCAGGAGCAACCTTTTCTCACCTTTGATTGGTCCGTTCCCCTTGTGCCAAAGCCCCCTTGAGAGCTGGGGTGTGGAGTTTCCAGGCCTAGACATGGAGAGGGTGTCTCAGGGTCTCTCGTCTTCTCCTGCCTGCTTCTTAGGGCTCACCAGGAGGACCTGAGAAACCCAGCCCATGCTGCTGTCTCAGCACTCCTGGGGGACATAGCCGCCCAGGCTGTTTGGGGTCAGCTTCCCAGGACCCAGGCCAAGCCTTGTTTTTGCTGTGTCCCGTCTAGAGCCACCTGTGTCTGGAGAGACACTGGCCAAGTGGACACTCAGCCTAGGGCTAAGGTGGAGAACTCATTGGTGCCAGCTGGGCAGCACGTCAGCAGGGAGTTACCCCCATCCCTGCCCATGGGTGGCCTGGTACCCAGGAGGTGTGGCCGGAGGACATTGGCAGGTGGGACTCCATGAACATGGGCCACCAAACCTGGCCGCCAGGGGAACCTGGGTCACTGGCTCCCACTTCCTGCTCTACCTGCTCCTTCAGCCATCTGGTCAGACGTGAGCCTGGCTGGTGTGAGGCTGCCTGGGTGGGGCTGCTCCCACACTGGCTTTAGCAAGAGGAGCAGGGTCCTGTTATCCCCCGGGGAGGCAGCAGGGAGCAGCGTCCTGTGGGGGAGCCTTAGACCATGGTCCATGTATACCCACACTCCACACAAATGAACACACATGCATGATACCTGTACCCCACAGGTACAGACACCCGTGCACACACCATATGCACGAGCACACACATGTGCTACATGAATGTGCATGAACATATGCACATATCTGCATCCCATACCCCACAAATGGACACACGAATACGCCCACACATGCACACATCATATCCATGAACATGTGCACACCCAAACCCCGTATGTATAAATACATGCATACACACCCCACACAGACACGTGTACGTCCACACATACAAAGCATATGCACCCACCAGTATCCCACAAACATGTACAAATGCATGTGCGTATGCACACACACACACAGTCCACACTCCACATGCCCCAAGGTCAGGCACACCCCCTCTCCTCTCCCGCCTTTGCAGTGAAGCTTGTCCTGGTGCGGCTGGAAGCCCTGTGGGCTGGGGAGCAGCAGCGAGACCCCCAGACAGAGCCTGGCCTCAAGCCTTTGTTATGGCAGCTGTTCTGTTTCCCTCTCCGGCAAGGGGCCTGCTCTCAGTTACATCAGGGGCTCCACCAGCTGGGTCCTTCTCCGCCCATGGCCTCTGGTGGAGCTGCCCAGGCCTGTGCCACAAGGGCCCTGACCTGGCTGATGGCCCAGGAAGGAGAGCCCTACGTCCTGGGCCCGGTTGCTCTCCCCTAGGAAAGCCCCGCCAGTCCTTATTGTGTCTGCTTGTATTTTATGGTCACAAAAGCAATGCTTGTTTGCTGTAGAAAATGCATAATGTATGGAAAAGTCTGGAGATGAAATTTTCCAATGGAGGTAATCACTGGGAAATTCTGGCATATTTTGTCTAGCATCTGCCCTGTATTTCACAGATTTGTACATGTAGTTTTGCGTTTCAAAGTTGTAAATCCAACATTAGATATCAAAAGAATTTTGTTGCATTCTTAAAGCTTCTCCCTGAGCCGCCTTGGATGTCACTGGGTTGCCCCCTCTGCTGGGACGGGCCCTGGGCAGTTTCCATTTGCTCGTGTCTTCAGTACAGTGGCATGGCGGTAACACCTGGCTGCGGGCCATCTGTATCCGAACCTCCATGTCCTCCCCTTTAAGCCTCAGGCCTGCCCCTCAAATGCCTGGGAAACTGAGTCTCCCAGTTCCAGGGTAGTGGTTGGCTGGGCTGACAAGGAGCCCTTGCCAGGACGGCGTGTGGGCAGGATGGACACTGGCTCTCAGGAAGCCAAGAGGGTGAGTAACAAGGGTGGTGGACAGGAGGGTCAGACCCCTGGGGCCTGGAGCAGGGTCCAGCGGGTGCTGAGATGGGAGCCTGGTGGCCCGTGTGGCTGGGGGAGAAGTGAGGGCCACACCGGCATCGAGACTCTGGGCCGGGTGTGGTCTGTAGGAATCTGAGGGCATAGGCTCTTTCATGGGCAGGTGGGACTTCCTGGGGAAGGCATCTGTGGGAGGTCACTCAGATCGTGACCCTGGTCAGTGCCCAAGGAGACAGCCATGGCCTGGGGTCAGGTGTGTACGCGGTCCTGTTGGGCCTGAGTTTCACCCCCCTCGCCCTAGAAGCTTCGTCTTGCCCCAGGCCCCCATGTGCTGGGACCTCAGGCCAGGGGGCCTGGAGCTGGGGAGAGAGGGGAGCGGGCTGTGGTGCTGGTCCCTCAGGCCACCATGACCCAGGTCGGGTGAGCCCCTCGCACTTGGGTGTGTCCTGGTGGCCGTGGTCACAGCGCTCCTGTGGTGCTCCATTTCCCGAGGAGGAAACGAGGCTCCTGAATGGGGACCTGGGGATGCCAGAGCCAGGAGCCAGCCCAGGTCAGGGGTGACACCCATTTTGCAGAAGGGGGAGACCAGCCACTGAGCTCCAGGGTAGGGGCCTACCTTGTCCCCTTCTTCCAACCTGATGCCTGCCTCTTGGACCCTGACTGGGAGTCTGGGATGTATTCCTGAGTTCACTCATCCCCTTGCTTGATGCCTGATCCTGGGGGAGGAGAGGGGCAGCACCCTGGCCCTGGTGCTGCCTGGGTTCTGTGCGTGCACCTGGCAGTTGGCCTGTGTTGTGTTTTCCCTGCTTGTATGAGGCGTGTGTGTCAGAGACCGTGTGGGTGTTATGTCAGTGTCTGTGACTCTGTCCCCTCCTCCTGGGCTCTGGCTGTGTTCCCCTAACCCCCAGGGGACCTCCAGGGCCTGCTGGTGGGGTCTCAGGTGTGTAGCAGGGTGGCCTGTGATTAGCAGCGTCATTCCCCTAATGAGCGTTTTCCGCTGGTGGCTGCCTTGCTCTGTTTTTCTAACAGAAACATTTGGTCACTGTGGCTGCCTACTGCCACCCGACTCAGCTCCAAGAGTGGCAGGCAGCCGTTTGCCTGGGGAGGCTGGCCTGGGTCCAGCTGCGCCCCTAGGCCTCACCGCATGAGGTTGGGACGGCCACCAGCGGGGTGCTCTTGGAGGATGCTCACGCCTCCCTCCTGCTGGTGCTGGGTCCTGGCTGAGCCTTGGACCTGCCTTTGGGAGGCTGGGAGGCCTGGAGAAGCCTCAGGCCGTGCCTCAAGGCCCAGCCAACCTGCCACGTCCCTCCGCCCCGCCTGCACCACTGTTGGCAGGTCCCTGCGTCTAAAAATAGTTCTGGAGGAGACTCAAGTCTGGAGCGCGTGGAGGGAGATGAGTCTGGAGAGGCAGCCGCCAAATCCACTCCCAGACGAACTGGAGGGGGGTGGGGACACCCCGCGGAGGCCCCCAGCCTGTGGGGCTCTGCTACCAGGCGCGCTGGAGACCCAGTGGGCCCAGCTCTGCTGCGCTGCGGGGGGCTCTGCCAGGCCTGGGGCTGCTGGGGGGTGCTGGGCGCCTCTGCCACCCCCATGCCCTGCACCCCCTCACAGCACCCTCAGTGAGCAGGGCTGGCTGCCTGCCTGCATTGGGAGGGCCTCTCGGGGTTCAGGGGCACTGGGCCCGAGGGAGAGGCTGCTTTGGCGCTGCTGCGCTGGGGGATGTGCAGGGAGGCCCTGAGTCAACCCTGTCCCAGACATCCCCTTTGATGAGGGAACAAAAGGTCTTTCAGTGGAGACAGCTGAACAGGGAGCCTGGTGGTGGAGGCGTGTGGGCGCAGTGTGCCAGGGGCTGGAGAATCCCACCAGGGAGGCCTTGTCCTCCCCAAGGCAGGGAGGCTTTTGGGGAATGAGGCTGCCTGGCATGGCCCCTACCCCCTTCAGGCCATTACTAGTGAGGGGCAGCGTGGTCCTGGGCAGGTGCTTGTGCTGCCTGGCCTTGGCCGCCCCGGGCTCTGGACCAGGGTAAGAGAGCCTGGGGAGGGGAGGGCTGGCCCTGGACCTGCCTCCCCCACTAAGCCTCATCCTTTCAGGTCGCTGGGGATCTAACCTACTGCAGGCAGCTCCCCCGGGGCAGGCGCGGCAAGGCAGGGCAGCCTTGGTTCCAGCTGCTGTGGCCCCCAGCACACGCTCAACTTGCCCCTCTGCTCCTGTCCTCCAGAGTCTCCCCATGCTGTGCTGTGGGGCAGGGGGTGCTAGGCTCTGTCTGGTCCTGGGCTGGACGCAGTCCCCTGCTGGGCCGATCCTTCTGAGGAGGCTACAGCTCGGTGGTGTGGGCAGCAGGCTCCGAGGCCTCCGACGTGACCTCTCGTCCCGCGGGGCTGGGCGCCCCAGTCACGGGGGGTTCCTTGCCTGTGGGTAGTGCCCTCCAGAGCCAGGGCCCCAGCCCCTCACCCCACCGGTGTCGCCCACCGTCATCAGCTCACACCCATACTCATCTGTGGAGCCTTCCGGGTCAGCAGGCTGTAGAGATGGTGGTGTCCTGGCCCGGGACCAGGCAGCTCTGAATAAAACCCGGGGTTCTTGCTGTACCCAGCACTACGTTCCGCTGGAGGAAGGTCAGAGGGTGCAGAGTGGGTGAGAACTGGCGTCCTTGGGGAGCCCCGTCCCTTCCACCTGGTGTGCCCTGCCCACCTCCCAAAAGGACGTGGCTCCCAGGTGTGAGTGGAGCCTCCCTGAGGGCCGCTTCGAGGGCAGCAGTGAAGTCAGCTCTCTGCCCCCAGGTGGTGGTGCCCACCCGTGTGGGGCAGGGCTACGTGTATGAGGCCGCCCAGCCGGAGCAGGACGAGTACGACATCCCGCGACACCTGCTGGCCCCGGGGTCACAGGACATCTATGATGTGCCCCCGGTTCGGGGGCTGCTTCCCAGCCAGTATGGCCAGGAGGTAGGTGTGGGGTGCGCAGCAGCGGGAGGGCAGGGCGGCGAGTCTGTGCCTCTGCTTGACCCTGGGCAGGGAGCTGCATCTTCTCAGCCCTGGCCAGGCCTGGGAGCAGTGCCGTGGGGTTTCTGCCTTTCCCACTCCCCCTGGCGCCATTAACCCTCCACTGTTTCTGCCCCCAGGTGTATGACACGCCCCCCATGGCTGTCAAGGGTCCCAATGGCCGAGACCCGTTGCTGGAGGTGTATGATGTGCCCCCCAGCGTGGAGAAGGGCCTGCCACTGTCCAGCCACCACGCGGTGAGCACATGCCAGGGCCAGGCTGAGACTGTGGGGTGTCTGGGTGTGTGCACTGGGGTGCTGACCAGTGTCTTCAGGGCTCGGGGTGGTGGGCAGGCAGAGACTGGCTCCAGACCCGGGTTCTGCTCCTCACTGGATCATTGATAGAAGAGGAAACCGAGCTCTCTTCTGAGCCTCAGCTGCTTCGTCTGCAGAGCCGCCTGTGGGAAGGCCTTCCCCATGAGCTCCTGAGAGGGTATCTGCAAGGTGACCACAGGGTATGTCCTGTCACCTGAGATACTTCCAAGAGTGAAGGGGGGACTAGTAATTATGTGGGAGCATCAGGGACAAACCAGGACTGTCCGGCGCAAACCAGAATTTGATCCCCTGATAATACCCGCAGAGCTCAGTCACACACAGAGTGGAAAGTTCACACGTGGTGGTGGTACTGGGTGGTACAGTGGTGGTGGTGGTGATGAGATCATGATATGATAGTGGTGGCAGTGGCAGTATGAGAGCTAACCTTTCAGTGAGTCTGAAGTGACACAATTATGTGAATTAACACGTGTCATTCTTTGAGAGGAAGTTCTCCCACCTTCAGGTTCTAGAGCTGGCTCGTCCCAGAGCTGTCATGGATGGGAATCGTGAAGGATGTGTGTGCCGGGGCTGCGTGTGTGCCTGTGTGTGTGTACATGTGTGTGGCTGGGTGCTGCCCCCAGCCCCTGGGGTGGGCAGATGGACGGATGGACAGCCTTGACTGCCGCTTGTCCCCCCAGGTCTATGACGTTCCTCCATCGGTGAGCAAGGACGTGCCTGATGGCCCGCTGCTCCGTGAGGAGACCTATGATGTGCCCCCCGCCTTTGCCAAGACCAAGCCCTTTGACCCGGCCCGCACCCCACTGGTCCTGGCTGTGCCCCCTCCAGACTCCCCGCCGGCCGAGGACGTGTATGACGTGCCGCCCCCGGCTCCTGACCTCTACGACGTGCCCCCTGGCTTGCGGCGGCCCGGCCCAGGCACCCTGTATGATGTGCCCCGTGAACGGGTGCTTCCTCCTGAGGTGGCTGATGGTGGCACGGTTGACAACGGTGTGTATGCGGTGCCTCCCCCAGCTGAACGTGAAGCCCCGGCAGATGGCAAGCGCCTTTCGGCCTCCAGCACTGGCAGCACACGTAGCAGCCAGTCCGCATCCTCCTTGGAGGTGGCAGGGCCGGGCCGGGAACCCCTGGAGCTGGAAGTTGCCGTGGAGGCCCTGGCACGGCTGCAGCAGGGTGTGAGCACCACCGTTGCCCACCTTCTGGACCTGGCAGGCAGCGCCGGTGGGACTGGGAGCTGGCGTAACCCCTCTGAGCCGCAGGAGCCGCTGGTGCAGGACCTGCAGGCTGCTGTGGCTGCCGTCCAGAGTGCCGTCCACGAGCTGTTGGAGTTTGCCCGCAGCGCCGTGGGCAATGCTGCCCACACATCTGACCGCGCCCTGCATGCCAAGCTTAGCCGGCAACTACAGAAGATGGAGGACGTGCACCAGACGCTAGTGGCACACGGTCAGGCCCTCGATGCTGGCCGGGGAGGCCCTGGAGCCACCCCTGAGGACCTGGACCGGCTGGTGGCCTGCTCGCGGGCTGTGCCCGAGGACGCCAAGCAGCTGGCCTCCTTCCTGCACGGCAATGCCTCGCTGCTCTTCAGACGGACCAAGGCCCCCGCTCTGGGGCCTGAGGGGGGTGGCACCCTGCACCCCAACCCCACTGACAAGACCAGCAGCATCCAGTCACGGCCCCTGCCCTCACCCCCTAAGTTCACCTCCCAGGACTCACCGGATGGGCAGTACGAGAACAGCGAGGGGGGCTGGATGGAGGACTATGACTACGTCCACCTGCAGGTGGGTGCCGCCTGCCCAGCCCCGGCTCCTCTTCTGCCGCACGGGGCTCCCATGCTTAGGGGGAGATTTGTTCCCAGCTGGGCCTGGTCCCTGGCAAGGCCCTGTACCCTCCTCTCACTCTGACCCTCCTCACCCCACATTGGCCCCATGTGCTAGCATGGCCGTGTCATCGAGTCCTTCATTGAGTCCCTCGGGCTGGTGTGTCCAGTGACCAGCAGCAGTGACTGTTGTGTTGGGAGACAGATCTGCAGAAATGTGCATGCAGAGAAAGATCCTCCGAGGGTGGGGGAGCAGCAGGAGGTGGCAGGAGGTGGCTGGGACTGCTCCTCCCAGGCCAGGCCCTGGAGCAGAGGCCTGGGTGCCAGCCGGGTGGGAGTCCCAGTGAGGAACATTCCAGGCTGAGCTGGGCCAGAGAGGCATCCAGGGGCAGGGAACAGGTGGCCAGGCCTTTAGGCCAACAGGGAGAGATTGGGTTTGATTCCTGGTGTGGCAGCCTAGGCAGGCAGGGTGGAGCTTGTGGCCTTTCTGCAGATGGCCCACCCTATGCCCAGTCTCTTCCTGGACTGGCAGGCGGTGAAAGGGGCAGCCAGGGCTGCTTCCTAGGAAGCCACCTTATCTGTCCCTGCATGTGCCAGCCTGTGTATGTGTATGTGGGGCTGTGTGCCCACATGGGCCAGCCTGAAGGGGTGTGTGTGTGTGTCCCCATGTGTCAGCCTGGGGGATGTGTGTCTGTATCTGCCCCTACATGGGCCAGCCTGTTTGGTGTGTCTGTGCGCGTGTGTGTGCATGTGTGCGCGCACAGCACCACCTGGTGGCACTCAGCTCACTGCGCCCCCACAAGGCTGGCCTGCTCTTCTGGCTCAGAAGAGAACTGGCCTCAGTGCAGCCCCTGTCTCTCCCCTCCAGGGGAAGGAGGAGTTTGAAAAGACCCAGAAGGAGCTGCTGGAAAAGGGCAGCATCACGCGGCAGGGCAAGAGCCAGCTGGAGCTGCAGCAGGTGAGGCCCTGGAGCAGAGCAAGGCCCTGCCTTGCCCGCTGACCCCTTGAGCCCTCAGCTCTTGCCCCGCAGGGCCGACCCCGGGTCCCCAGCTTCTCCCCACACATTGTCTGGTAGTTCTCAGAGCTGGGCCCAGCCTGCCACCCCCCTGCCTCCTGACCATCTTCATCTTTTCATTTGGTTTATTTTAAAGTTGTCAAGAGTAATTGTTGGAGACATTTAGGGAGTTAGAGAGTGGGGTGAGAGCAGAAAATAGACCCCTCACAGCTGCCATAGGCTCGGCTAGGGGCTGGCTCTGCCTTGCTCCTTCCTCCAAGCTGCTCCCTGCGTGTCCAGGATGGTGTCCTGTGGTCATTCGACTCTTCTGTCCCAGCATCTGCCATGGCATTAAGCATTCTTTGTGGATTCCTTCAAAGACCACATAGCATCTATTGAATGTTTGTATTGTACCCACACTTCCTTAGTATTATTTTATTTTGTTTTTGAGACAGAGTCTTGTTCTGTCACACAGGCTAGAGTACAGTGGTGCAATCTCGACTCACTGCAGCTTCAGCCTTCTGGGCTCAAGTGATTCTCCTGCCTCAGCCTCCCCAGTAGTTGGGATTACAGGCGCCTGCCACCATACCTGGCTGAATTTTGTATTTTTTGTAGAGACAAGGTTTCACCATGTTGCCCAGGCTGGTCTCAAACTCCTGGGCTCAAATGATCCACCTGCCTTGGCCTCTCAAAATGCTAGGATTACAGTGTGAGCCACCACATCTGGCCCCTTATTATAAATACACTGCTATGTTTATA